TTTCTACGGGACTCACTTCTGTCTCCCGACCACTTAGACTCTGGCCTCTGCCTCCCACACGCTGTGGAGACCATCAAGGTACTGCCAGCCCGAAGGTGACACAGCCTTCCAAGGTTCTGGGACAGCGGGAACCGGACGGCCACGTGGCCGAGAGGGCTTAACCCTTTGGGTGTCTTGGTCACCTGGGAAACGGTCAGCGTCAGCTAACAGTGGTACTGGCCCCCCCGTGCGATCCCCAACTGTGGGCCCGGGCTGTCCTGGATGAGCCAGACGGTAGGTCCACTGTCCCGTTAGCCAGGAATACGGTCACCCTTTGAGTGAATTGACAGAGTGACATGGTGAATGTGACATTTTCAGAAAGAGCTGGTGTTTGGGACAGAACAGCAGGACTCGGGGGCAGGCTCTCCGCGGAGCAAACACGGCAGAGCAGGGTTGCCTCGGGTCGTGTGTGCAGTTGGCTCCACCTGAACGCCAGACCGCGGCGCCTGTAAACGCCGACACCTGGCCCTGGACACAAGTCATTGTGAGAAAGGTGACACCCAGGGACACAACTGCAATTAAGACACAAATTAAAAATGCAGTGGCCAGTGGCACACAGGACATGTACGGACCTGTCAAGGCGGGAGTGAGACCTCAGCCAGCCTCTGCCAGGAACGAGAATCTTAGGCGCATAAACACAACACGTCCACTAATCGGTGATCGCACAAGCGATGCCAGTCACAGCAAGAGGGGGACGTCGTCGCCATATTCTGCCGGTCAAAAGTTTCACAGGAAAACTACACAAAACCGGGACAGGTATGGGGACAGAGGGACTCTCTGTTCACCAGTGGCGCTGCCTGTCTGGGGTGCAATGGGGCAAAAATATATCCAGAGGTTTAGAATAAACATAAACTGTGTTCCCACCTCAAAAAATCCACCCCTGGGGAATTAGCAGAGGTTTCCATACGCTTTACATGCCTGAGGATGTTCGGTTTAGCACTGTTTATAGACCAAAATAAAAGGCAACGCCCCATGTTTCCGACAACAGGAGACAGGTTCCATCGATAGACAGATAAAATGACCTGTAACGGGGTCATGAGAAGTTAAGTTTTCAAAGAACTGCAAAGACAGGAAACTGTCACAACTCAATAAGAGACACCAAATCAGTAGTAAGATGTATAATAGAGAATCGATTTGTTTAAAAACATACACACGCGTAAGAATTAAACCAAATTAAATATGAAAAAAACTTCAACAGTGGTGGGATCCTGGGGTAGTTTTCATTTCTTCATGATACTTTTCTACAGTTGTCAAGTCTACATGGAACCTGTTATTTTAAACCCGGTAAAATAAAACTGCTTTCGTTTTTAAAGAAAAAGAAATAGGGTCACCTTGGAGTCACCTGGGAGAGAGGACCCACGGGACCTCCAGACAGGCATCAGCTTTTGTCCCTTTGTCTGAACTACTGTTTATTTTCTCAGCATGACAGTAAGTCCCCATTCCTCAGGCCAAACCAGACTCTCAGAGCATCTGACATCAGCAAAAGAAAGCCTTGTGGCCAGGAGACAGGGGCAGGGACCCCCAGAGAGCTGAGAGCTGGGCATGGCAGGCAGGTGGGGTTGGCGAGCACCCTGCCCCACTGCAGAGGACCCCACTGCAGGGTCTGCCCTGCAGGGACCAAGCCCAGGATGGGTGCCGCAGGCACTACGGTGAACCTCGTCCAGGTGGCTGTCCCCACGCAGGAGGCCAGGGGTTGGCAGACCCAAAGCATGACATGTGGACCTGTTTAATTTTGCCCTTCCTCCTCGCCTCTCTGTCTTCCCTCCCTAGAGCAGCCCGTGCCAAGGTCACTGGGCATGAGAATTAGGTCCCCTCACTTCCCTAGTACAGTGGCACACGTGGCTGCGGCTAGAAAGGGAAGCAAAAGAGGTATCTCAGCGATTCAGCAGCACCCCTGCCCACCCCCGGGACCTGCATGTGGCCTTCCTGAGACACATTCTCAGGGTGTGGCGTGGGATGTGTCCCCTGAGAACGCTTGCACACCCCTCTGGAGCACAGAGACAGCCCCTTGCTTGGAGCTATGATTTCTTAAGCTCCTGATCTTTCCTCCTGTGGCCTCAGGGGAGGGGAGGAGAGTCAGTGAGGACAGGGTCCCCTTTGCTCCTTTCTTTGAATTCCCTGCGCGCTGAGAAAGCCCAGATGCCTGCCGAGAGAGCCCTGAAGCTTGGCCTCAGGGAGCCTGATTTCCCTGGGCAAGAAGTGGGTGGCAGGCGTGGCCAGGACTCCTGTGAGTGGCAGGCGTGACGGGCGTGGCCGGGAGCCCCGAGGTGCTAGTGCAGCCTCCGGCTTCACTCTCCGGGCAAGTCCCTCCCATCACCCCTGGGGCCTCTGGTTAGAGCAGGAGAGCAACAGCAGCACTAAAGCCTGTTAGCCCTCGCTGAGTCGCGTGTCCGGCCCTGTCCTGCTGCTCTCGTAGCCTTTCAATCCTCCCAACAAGCCCAGGAGGCGGGTATTAGCATCACTCCCATTTTACAGATGAGCAAACTGGGGCACCAAAGGTCACACAACTAGTAAGAAGTAGAGGCAGGATCTGAAACCAGGAGCTCATCGCCACAGTCCAGGCCACGTGGCCCTGCACAGACCCAGGAGGAGGGAAGCGGCGACTGGAGCTACTGAGCACCTGCCCCGTGCTGAGCGTGACCGAGCCCTCGCCGGAGCTGGCCTCGTTCAACCCTCAAAGCGCACATGCGGGGGGATTCTGCAGCCGGAGGCAGGGAAACTGAGGCTCAGAGAGGTCAGGGGCTTGCCTAGGATCCGAACTCGGCTGTGTCACGTCAGGCCTGTGCCCCCACCTCACCCCCTGCCTCCGGTTCACAGTTCAAGAGACACTGTCCTGGCCACTCACATGGGCGGCAGGTCCGCCGCTCTGGACGTCCCACGTGAGTAGCCTGCGGGGAGAGCGCGCCTGCTCCTGGCTCCTCCCTGACGAGGTGCTGCTGGGAGGTGCGCTGCCCTCTCCCACTGCCTCCGCGCTCTCCCTGCACCAGGGCCTGACCTCCAACCTGGCTCTGAGCCTGTCGGTCCCTGCTCCAGCCACACATCCCCGCCGGCTGTCCCTCCTCTTCCCCACATTACAGACAATAGGAGACGTGGCATTTTACATTCATACTGCTCTTTCCCCTCACCCGCTTGATCTGGCTTTGATCCTGAAAATCACCAGGTCAGACGACTATACAGCATTCCATGCCCCAGTTTCACAAGGAGGAAGACAAGGCTCAGAAAAAGCGAGGTGACCCACCCAGTGTCACCCAGTTTTTAAGCCAGGACTCAAGCCTGTGGCGTCAGACTCCAAATCAAGGGCTCTGGAGAGACCTCGGTGGTTAGCCAAAGTACTTCCGAGATGAGAAAACTAAGGCCGGCAGGAGAGGTGGCTTGTTCAAGGTCATGGCCATTGACGGCAGAACTGAGGCTGAACCCCACAGACGCTGACCCCATAACACCTGGCCCACATGTGGAGGACAACGAGAGCCAGTTATATCAACTCAGCGAACAACAAGGGACAGTGATGCCAACGCCGCCAAGGAGCAGGGGCCAGAGCCATCAGAACCAAGGCACACCCCACTCCACAGCGAAGTCTTCCCCGGGACGCGCCAGTCTCCGGGGCAGCTTCCGGTGGGGGAGGTCTGGGGGGGGCCAGGCCAGTGAATGTAGGCAAAGTTCAAAGTTGGGGGACTCTGCCCCTGGCAGGTCACCTCTTTGGAGGACTTGTTTACGTGAGAGAGCCAGCCACCCAGGGTTAAAGGGCCAGCTGAGGGGCCTGCGCCGGCTGAGGAGGGATGGGCCCTGCCTCGGGGGTCTGCTTGGTCGGGTGTGGAATGAGTAAGTGAGCACAGGAATTCAGGGCACAGAGGAGCAGCATCTTCAATTCTCAGGATACGGAGAAAAGGATGTACAAAGCCAACTCCGCATCTACCGTATGTCGCCTTTTATAATGTGGGCCACACAGCTCTGGTTCCTGCTCTGCCAAAGCCTTGGGGACAAGACGGAGGTGGAGCCAGGCCCTGGAGGCCATGCCCACATGCTCCCCAGTGGAAGGCTGGGATCCCCGGAGGGCAAGGACACTCCGCCTGCTCCCCGTCGGGGCTCATCCCTGTGGATGCTGAGGTCCCTTCTTCTCAGCTCTGCCTTTGCTTCCTTCCCACTGGCCTTCATGGGGCCTCTCAACGGCCCCCGTGTCCCCGTCTGCAGGTGGGTTTGCATGTCAGCGTGGCCACTGGAAGTACCCAGGAAAGCTATGAAATGTGGAAAGGATGTGCCAGCCCACATTTCTGTTCAGCAATGTCACGTGTGGGCTGAAAAGCCACTGACCTGCAAATCTCCACTGCATCCATCCATCCCTGGCTCTTAGGGAGCTGCCCTTCTCCCTCACCAGAAATATCCTCACCCCTTTGAGACAGAAGCGCCGCTGGGAGCTGGGAAACGGGCGCCTGCTCGGGCTCTGGAGGCCGTTGGAGGGTTCTTAGAACTGGCTGGCTCTCTCTGCACATTCAGAGGGGTCGTAAGAATGACGCTGAGCGGTTCCCTACGCAGGAGGGTGAATTCCACCTAAACGGGGTTGTTTGATAACCCCCACCCACCAGTTCTAGGACGCAGAGGCCCATGAGACGATTTCCGTCATGGGTGAGGGAGACATGGCCCATCCCCTAACTTTGGGAAGTGAGTAGCTGGAGAAGCTGGGGGACGGAAGTACAGCATCAGGGCCCAGAAACTCTGGAGAATTCAGAGCTGTCCTTCCCCACCCGGCTTTCCCCAGGAGAGTCCCAGGAAAAGTTCAGGAGGGCTGGGGTCCTGCACCAGTTACACTCGGGGGCAGCCCTCATCCAGGGACAGCGCTAACGAGCACCCAGACCTCTTCCAGGATCCCCCCGCGGCCCCCGGGCTCCTGGGCTGTGGTGGCCTCTCGCTGCCCCCTCCCGCCCTCCTCCCGCGGCCCCGCCCCCAGGCCAGCCGCTCCAGCTCACCTTTGGGCAGCTTAGACGCGTTCTCCTGGATCCAGGTGAAGAGGTGGGCAAAGTCGCAGTCGCAGAGCCAAGGGTTCCCGTCCAGGCGCAGGGTGCGCAGCGCGGGTAGCGCGGCCAGGGCGGCCACGCTGAGGCCGCGCAGGTTGTTGTCGTTGAGCTCCAGCACTTGCAGCGACTCCAGGGTCTCGAAGGCGGCCTCGTGCACTCCCGCCAGGCGATTGTTGGCCAGGCTCAGCCTGACCAGCCTCCCGGCCGAGCGGAAGGCGCCGGCGTCCAGCTGGGTCAGGTTGTTGTAGCTGAGGTCCAGGAAGGCGAGCTTGGCCGAGCCGCTGAAAGTGCCCTCCTCCAAAGAGCGCAACGAGTTGTTCCTAAAGTCCAGGTAGACCAAGTCGCCGTAGAAGATGAAGAAGTCCTCGGGAATGCGCTGGATGCGGTTGCCGGCCACCAGCAGCTTGCGCACGTCCAGAGGGAAGGGGTCGGGCACGCTGGGCAGCCCGCGGTCTCGGCAGTCCACGGTGTGCGGGTCGGTGCAGGCGCAGCCCGCGGGGCACGCGTGCCCGGGCCCGAGCAGCAGCAGGAGGCTGCAGAGCCCGAGCGCGGCGGCGGCGGCGGCGGCGGCGGCGCCCGCTGGGGCGCGGGGCGCTGTACTGGAGCGCATGGCCGGGGGCTCGCGCCAGCCGCGGCGACGCGGGCGCGGCTCTCCGGACGAGCCCGGGAGCGGGGCGGCGCGCGGGGCCCGGCGGCCCGACGCTGGGTGACTGAGGGCGGTCGAGGCGGCGAGGGCGTGCGCCCGGGCGCGCGGGGGCGGCTAAGCGTAGCGCCGGCGGACTCGGGGAGCCCGGGGCGGAGGGGACGGAGCGGGAGAGCCGGAGAGGGAGGGGCGAGGGACTCGCGCAGGATTGCCCGGGACAGGAAATTAACTCGCTGTTAAATCCCAGGGGAGAGACGCGACCGCTAAGGGTGGCCAAGTGGCGTTCGGCAAACGGGACCCCAAACAGACAGCTTATTTCCGGGGCCCGATAATAAGACCTGTCCTGGGCACTGGGCCAGGAGCTCTCGACGACTAAATTCGGTTACCGAGGGACCCTGAACCGCGGCCGTTTCCAGGGCCCTGAGCCCGGTACCCCCACGCCCGCCAGGTGCCAAAGTACGCTCCGCGCGCGCCACCCCCGTTGCCAAAGGGAGCGCAGCCTGGGCCACTGTGGCTCTGCGCCCGGGGCAATCCCCGTGAGCTCTCGGGGGCCGCGCCCGGGGCTGCCCAGGGGGCTGGGCCGGGCGCCAGCGGGCTCCGGGTAACTCCGGGTGGCTGGTCTTCCCTTCTCTCGCCCCACCCCCAACCCGCATCCCGGTAAGGCAGGCGGGGTCAGCGAGGCCGCCAGCTACCAGGGCCCCCGCTGTGGCCCGAAGGGAGGTCGCGCCTGTCAGCACTTTCCGTGTTGGCCCGCAGCTCGTTAGGAACTGGCAGCCGCCGGAACGAATCTGCCGCTGATCCACGGAGGCCCAGCGGACAGGCGCTGTGGACCGGAGCCAGGAGGCCGGGGTTGCACGTGGGGTGGCCTCGGTCCCAGCGCCTCCACCTCTCTGGACCCCTGTGCCCCAGCTGTAAAATAGGAAAATGTAATATGCTTGTCACAGCTATGAGAGAGGACTACGGAGTCAAGAAACCAAAAAAAAATTATCTCTTCCCTCTTAACATTCACTCCCTCTCCCCGTCCCCTCACCCCCCCCGACACCACCCCCTCCGCGACCAGAAATATCCTCACCCCTTTTAGACAGAGGAGCCAGCTGGGAGCTCCCCACCAGACTCCCAGCTTTGGTCCCCAGGGGAGCAGGCCAGGGAGGTGCCAAGGCTGAAGGACAGCAAGGTGTGGTCACTTTAGCTTCGGACACAAGATTTCCCTCTTCACTGCCCCCTAAGCCAAACTCCTCCTTCCCACCCCCTATTTCAGAAACTTTTCTAAGGAGAGGTCCCTACAGAGCCACCAAGCTGCTGGCTATTTTGGTCCAAATATCCTGGAATTGATAGATGGACCAAAATAACCCAGGGAACAGCTGTTGGGCAGCGGGCCCCCGAAACCTTGCCTTGGCCCCCGGCTCTGATGCACACTGGTGGAGGCTCGGATTCTAAAGCCGCAAAGCTAAGCCCCGGATTTTTCCAATAGGCACATGGAGCCTTGGTGCCTTCTGATGGATCAGAAACCTGGGCCTCCGGGTCTAAGCCCGCGGCTCCACCGAGGCTGAGTGCGCAGGGGCCGGGGGAGGGGGCGGAGCCGACAGCTCTTTCCCTGCGGACTCGCCAGGCCTCCTGAGGCTTCTGCCTGTCTGCCCCCTCTTCCAGGGTCCCCAGTTTGCCGTTGTCTTCCCCAGCTGCAGAGGCCCAGCCCCCTCTCTGGTCTCATCCCCTTGAAAAGACAGGTGCTGGAGCAATAGCCCGCGTCTCCCCAGAGTGGCGACAGGGCCCAGGTGCATACATGATGCACAAAGGCAGAGTTGCACCAAGCGCAGGCAGGCGGCAGGATAAACAGATCCTGCCAGTTGCAGCTCCCCAGGAGCACCCTGAAATAATCTGCTACGCCCTCCACCTTCCACTCTCTGGCTTGGTTCTCGCTGTTCACGACAGTATCAGGGGAGCCTATTTATTACGGGGGTCGGGGGGAGTCCTCAGCATCCCTACCCCAGGCCACCTGTGTTTGGTTGGGCTGCCGTCTTACACACGTGTGCCGTGCGCCTGGGTGTCTGAGGGTGCGCAGCCCTGCCCGGCGAGCTGCTTGGCCGGAGCCCCTGCCTGGGAGTCAGGCCCCTGGCCCTGGTCCTGGCCCCACCGCTGGCCACAGTGCCTCTCTTGGGCCACTCGACCTCTCTGGGGAATACTCCCCAGCCTGGGGTCCATGGGCCCCTGGAAGATAAACTCCTTTCAGGATTTCAAAAAATTGGGTGAAAACTAGGCCTTTGTGAGGAAGTCACCAGAGTACACGTTGCCATTCTGGACGATGAACTCTGGGGTAGCCCTAGTTCTTTTCTGCTGAGCAGAAACTGGCACTTGTGAGTGACTTTGATGAATGAAAACAGACCTGAATTTCTACTTAATAAACGTAGGGCATTTGGCAAGGGCTTGCAAACGGGGCGGGGGGGGGGGGGGAGAGGGCATGGTAGTAAAATAATAAAAGGGGTCCCTGGTCGTAAAAATGTTGAGAAATACCACTCTTGGCCTCGATGGCCTCCTCCTGAAAAGAGAGAAAATACCGTCTGTCTCCCCTTCCACAGACAGCATGAGGCCCACGTGGGGAAACAGCGCTATGGAGCGGGATCAGAAAAACGTTTGGAACACTCTGCAACCTACAGGGGGGCCGTAAGTCTTGCTCTGGCAGGAGCTTCTTGCCTCTTGCTTTGAGTGTCCCCAGAATCCTTTGCATTCAAAGTTAAGCATTTTTCCATTAATATCAGTAGGACCAGACATGGCCAAGTTTCCTCGGGAGCAGGGAGGCCCCTGTTTTCCAGGATTCCCATCCCCCGGGGAAAACGCAAGCTTGGCCACCTCTGCTTTTTGCCCAGCAGGGAGAGCGTAGCTGCGACCTCAGCAAGGTCCCGTGGTGAGTCGGTGACAGCTGCTGGAAATAGAACAAAGGCATCCCAACACCCCCGCGGCCCTACCCGCCTTGCTCCCTCCCTGGGAAGGGAGCCTCTTAGGGCTTGACAGGGAACATTGCAGGTGTCCGGGGACCCCTTCAGAGACTCAGCTCCATTTCTGTGTTTATTCCGAATCAACACAGTTTGAGATTCTTATTCAGAAGGCTCAAGACAGGGGTGTGGCCAATACCCGAGGCACCCTGTTTTCAGAGCTGACATCAGGCTTCCCAGGCTATCCTAGGCGACTTCTCTCCCGTGACCTGTGCTCCCGGGCTCCAGGGCACCACCTGTCTCCTATGGATGGCCCATGCCTGAGTCCCGTGAGGCCTTGGATTTCCACTGCGTGGACAGTGGTACCCAGGGAACCCCCCATGTGGGGCCTGGGCCCTGTAAGCAAACACAATCCAGTAATAAGATTTTCTTCTTCGGTGGCCAGACTGACCTCTCAATTACTCAAAATTCTAGGCCTTAAATTGTAAACAAGACGATGCCAGTATGGTATATGCAAGAGTCGGAATTTAGCTGCAGACACTTGAATAATAATAGTGTGACTGGTGCTTGGTGAGGTCATTTGGGTTACTGGTGGGCATCACCCGTGATGAGCCCCCGGCTGACCTAGGTTGGAGGCACAAGGACACCCCACGTGGCCCGGGAAAGGAGACGCACTCTGGCCCTTTGCCTGGGGGAGCTGGACTTGAGAGACCCAGCTCTCTGCTCCATGGACATGCTTGTGACTCTTCCCCCGCCCCTTAACTGGCCAATCCCACGTTCATGTTCCCCTCCACCACCACCAGGGGGCACCCTCTGCTGCCTGCACCTCGGGATGCTGCAGCCAGGGAAAGCAGGCTCCTGCTCCGCTCCTCTCTGGCAAGCCTGGACCGCTCTTTAGAGGAAGAGCTCCTGCCCCTAGCTCCACTCCTGGAACCACGCCAGGAATCTTCAACCAGTGTAAACGGGAGGCAGGACGGTGGCAGTAGTTGGGGACTCGGGCTTGGAGCCAGACACACCGGGGCCGGATCCTGGCCCTCCTGCTCACTCTGTCACCCTGGGCACCTCACTTAACTTCTCTCAGCCTCAGTTTTCCCATCTACGAAGCAGACCATACTTGAGCCTGCATCGCTGGGTTGTTAGGAGGGTTAAGTGGGATATCTATGGAGCACTTGGCACGGGGACTGACCCAGTACATGGTGGCCACATAGGTATCAAGTTCTCTACCTTTTCACCTATAGCAGGTTGAGATTTCATGGAGGTGGCATTCTTCAGGTGAAGAATGTAAGTGTGTGTCTTGCTGGAATTTCTTTGTTAGGGAGGCCTGAACATTTGAGGCCCCCCAACCCCCCTGCCCAGAGCTGTATTCGCACCTGAGACAGGGAGACAGACACCAACACAGTCCCTGCTCTTTCCTGACTCTGAGCACCGCTATAGGTGGGCACCCCCTGCCCCGCCCCCAGCTTGGCTGGCACGGGCGTTGGGCAGACTAATAAGACTGAGGACGCGGGGTCAGTCCCTCAGCCTGGCACAAGGAGACATCTGTTCTCTGCTCACGGCCAGTGTTCCTCACGCTGGCCAGTCATCCAGCAAAAGCGTGACCTTGGGGAGGGCTGGAGGAGGACAGGGATCGTGCCACCCTGTCTCTCCCAGGAGGAGAAAAGCTCAGAGCACACATCCCGAGAGTCAAAGTCACGGTCATCCCCCGGGCAGGAGGCACGTGCACGGCCAGCTCAGGGGTCGCCCGTTTCCCCTCCGCTGGCCCCTACCTCCTTCTCTGCCTGTCCACGGTTACCGCCTTAGTCCCAACTGGCATCATCTTTTACTGAAGTCCCCCCTGGCCTTCCTGTGTCTGCTCTTGCCCAACCCCTGCTCACCCTCCTAATGCTCCAGAGAGCCAAGGTGATCCTTTGACAAGGTACATCTGATCACGTCACCTCCCTGCTCAGACAGCTCCAATGCTTTCTGTTTGTGGCAGGTAGGTTTCTAAGGTGACCCCCCCCCCATTGGCTCCCACCTGCTGGTATTTAATGGGGACAGGACCCGTCATGTGACTTGCTTCTAATAAATAAAATATGGTCAAAATGACAAATGCCGTTTCCACAATTAGGTTACAAAAGACTATGACTTCTGTCCTGCTATCAGACTCTCTCTTGTCCCTTTGGTTTGTGTGCTTTGATGAAGCAAACTGCCACATGGCAGAGGCCTGCATGTGAAAAACTGAGGGTGGCCTCAGATCAGCAACCCGGGAGGGACTGAATCCTGACAACAATCGTGTGAACTTGAGGTGGAGCCTTCCCAGTCCAGTACTGAGAGGCCTACCGCCCAGCCAACATCTTGCCTGCAGTCTGTTAGAGGCCCTAAAGTGGAGGACCCAGCGAGCGCATGCCCAGATTCCTGTCGCAAAGAAACTGTGAGATCAAAAATGAGTTTTGTTTCAAACTGCTAAATTTTAGGATGACTTGTTACACAGCAACAGCTAGCTAATGCATTGTGGCACCTGCAATCAAACCCTACCAGACCCTGAGTGGTCTGGCCCCACATGCCCCTCCCAGCCCATTTAGGACCACTCCCCCCTTGGCTTCCCACCCTCCAGCCACTCTGCACCTTCCGTACACCAGTCTAATTTACCACATTGGTCCCACGCCAGGACCTT